GTGTAAATAGTCAAAGAAACTTTGAAGTTATCGATACCACATGGGCAACAGTGAATTCCATAAAGTATCTTGCAATTAAAGCACGTTTGCCTATACATGGCAAGCCACTACAGCACAACTGGTGTCGGGAATATCAAGTGCTTTGTGAATCGTATAACGCCCGTCCAATGGGATGTGCAGATAGCTCTCTCGTGGACCCAGATTCCCAAAGTTGTGCTATCAATTATAACGTTGGCGACTGCTCTTCGCGTGAATCTGTTAAAACAATGATTACAGGATACCAATTTGGATATACAACTGCAACGGTGAATGACACTTTTGTTTTTAGTAGCTGCTCTCATGAAGCGTGTAGCCAGGATCTTACAACTTCAACATGTCACAATTCACTCGACTGCATTTATAAGAATTTACTTGGTAAAGAAATGTACACCATGTGCCGAGAGACTAAAGTGCAGGCTTTTGATGTACTCCAAACTAAACGTTATGTTCATCAAGGAATACCTTATTTGGTTATCAAAACTAGGATTCCCTCGAGTCCGAATTCCAAGACCGTATCTTGGTGTAAAGACTATCAGATGTTGTGCAATTCGTACGGTTTAAAGCCAACTGGGTGTGGAATGATGCGTGCCAATGACACCGATTACTCCTTATGTTCCTCTGTGTATGGCTCCATTATGCTTCCTGGAAACAACCTGGGATGTGATCCACGATCTATGGTGTCTCTCATTGCAAGAAAAGCTGGCTTTTACAACGCGACTCCGGATAATTCATTCGSTTTCCATCGATGTGGGCAAGGTRGTTGTAGTAGTAGGTTGCCATCCACGGGCTGTAGTCCTTCTCTGTCTTGCTTAAGTGTCGAATCAAGGCACTTGGAATTCTACACTTTATGCACAAGCACACAGCGAAGTAACTTTGAGGTCATAGATACYTCCTATGTACTTCACATGGGTATGAGGTTCTTAACCTTGAGAGCTCGACTTCCTACTAATGCCACGTCCTTGAACGACAACTGGTGTGAAGATTATCAGCGATTGTGCGAAGATTACGATGGACGTCCAGTAGGTTGCGGAKCTCCCCACTCGCAAAACCCTGACATGTTATTATGCGAGAAAGAATACGACTCGTTTGCGTCTAATGCTGATTTATTTGGATGTGGATCAACGCGTTCAGCTGCGGAAATAATCCAAAAAGGAACTCTAAAAGGGATAACATACGATAATGTGTTTATCTTTCATAGGTGTAACAAGMAAAGCTGCACCAAGAAATACCCGACCTCAGGATGCAGCAAGTCTCTACATTGCCTCAAGAAAAACATCTTGCCTTATGAGGCCTTCACASTCTGCCTTGCTAATGAACAATATCATAACTTTGAAGTCATGAAATCAAAAAGAACAATACACAACAACTGGGAATATGAAGCCTTTGAAGTTAAAATACCCAAATCTAAGAAATCTAGAAATGAAGACTGGTGTCGGGATTACCAAAGGTTATGCGAAACCAACGGAATGAGACCCGTGGGATGCAACATAACCGCAAACAGTTCGAATCCTAATTGCCAAAGGTACAATCAACTGACCACAAGTGACGAGAACCCTTGCTCTTCTACGGAGTTTGCTAAAAGTATCGCTAACAAGGCAGGGTTTTCTACGGCAACAACGCTCAACAGCTTCACATTCGATGACTGTTCTACGGAGAAATGCCCAAAAAATCTCGACGACCATATTTGTCAATCTGAACCNGAATCGTACGGTCGTCGACCATTAGGTCATGCAGCAAATTCTCTAATCGACGGCGGCGATGAGTGCGAACAGCTCTACAATGCTTATATGGTTCCTGACGATGCTTTCAAGGTCAATGCCTATAGTAAGTTCCCAGAGGACGTGGAAAGTTTGGTCAATAGTGTTGGATTTGAAAAAGCCAGTTATGATAATAACAATATATTCGTATTTTTTAAATGTATTCATTGTAAAAAAAGCTTCGATAACATGGTATCGGATGTAGATTATGGCGTTTCGTATTTGGGTCACGCTAATTCTTTAATAGAAAAATATACCGTTTGCGCTTAAGRGATGGAAGATGACTGGATGGAAAGTTCTTGGAGCATGCGCAAAGGACTTGATAATCATCCCACGTGACAAGCTGATGGTTTGTAGTGATCTTCATTCTTATCACCAAGAAACTGAAACGCTCAATCTAATTCTCCAAGTCTTACTAACGGGCCTAAGAACAACAGATGATATTACTGSGAGTCATTGTCCATTCTGCACATAGCAGATATTTCAATGATTCTCGAGTCAGTCGTGCTGCACGAGGCAGGAGCGGTTCTGGTTTTATATTTGGCACCAACCAGAAACACTGGTAATTGTATATAGAACTTGATGGTTGCAATTCCAGGTACAAAATGGTAAAACACCCGCGGATTTATTGACCGGCAAGAACTCTACTCTATCACGATTCAAAGCGCGCAATATGAAGCAAGCATTTAATAAACAATTCACGATTTTCAAAAATGGCGCGAAGACCCACTTTCATCCGAGAACCTTTACGATCGTTTTTTAAGTTGATTTTTGATTGGTCCAAAATCTATCCCCCAAGCACGCGAGATGATAATCCGTCAAAAAAGGCACAATATAAAAAGATTTTAAAATGATCGTCCATAAAACTCGTGTTTTTTTTTTTGTTTTGTTTTGTTTTTGTTTTTTTTTGTACGTGAGTAAAGCGCGCAAAGGTTTCGGATACAGGTTTGATTTATCATTTCATGTGCCAATGTTAAACTGTTATTTTCAGGAAGTTTATATAACTCAACAAGGGAGATAAATCTACTCCCATAATGATAGTCAACTCGTGAGTTATATATGAAAAAACTTAAATTACAGTTTGAGTTAATGATCTGCCAAAAACAAAGGCTCTACCATTATATTAATTCATTCAATTACTATCACGCATGCGCTCTATCGATCCAGGTTCTATACCTAATCACTTGGAATAAGCCTGAATTGTAGTACAATTAAGTGTATTCACGACTTCCCATACGCAGGTTCAGTGACCACGAACAAAGTATTACATTGAAGMGAGGCGTAAAGAAAACTGATCACAGATCATTTCTTTTATGTTCACTGTACCTTAACGCCTCGTTTCAATGGAAATGGAAAGTCGTGAATGACACTGTCACACAACACATTAAACCCAAAATATATTACGTATAATAAACATTTTCATTCAAACATAGTTTTGATGGCATATTAATGTATAATATTCTCCCCTACTTAAATCTAAATACACCTAATAGTCAGTGTGTAGCGACGCCATTTTGTGCAGCAAAGCATGATGGTAGTTGTAGCCTTCGTGCTTATCATACACCGTAAATTATCTCCATAAAATGYGTTTTTMTTTTTTCTTTGTAAAAACGGTACAACTACTTSATCTTTTACTCAGAAAAAGCAAAATCTGTTTGAGATGACTGTTGTAGCGGACGTAAAAAATTACGAGTACTACAACTATCATCATGCTTTGCTGTACAAAATGCCATCGCTGCACGCTGCCTATAGAAAAAACCTAGTCGGGYTGCAAAATGTTACGTCATCAAAGCTAAGACCGAAAGGGAGCATGGGAAAGCAAATGTCATGAATGACAGAATATATATATTTTAGTGTCAAAAGATTWCCTGCACTGAATAAATTAGGCCTCTGAGATAGCAGTTTGCATTGCATTGTGGTCTAGATTCGGTACAAACATCTTTTGATCATGCTGCCATATATGGTGTTGTTTGTRCTGAARCTAGACCACAATGCACTATGATTTTGTATTTCAGAAAAGGTCTAYGGCTATCTTGTCGAGTTATGCTATTACGAGACATGCTTAGGCAAATATGATCCGACTTTCTGAGTATCCAAGAACCACTGCRGTCTTRATAACATCACCTTTTCGAGGCGCCACGTTTTTTTCAATTARGTGTAAACTGAAYAGTCATTTCATCCCTACGCACAATACAGGGACATAGCCAACTAGCATGAGATGACTTTTCAGTTTACAATCCATATATATAAGGTGGGATCTTGTAATAACTCATTCATGGGRCATAAAGGGAAAACAAAGTTTGTATCAAGTAGAAACTCGCAAGGGATGCCGGTTGTCCTTGGCTCTTTAGAGTTTAAAGTYTTTTCTTTTTCTTTTTTAYGTCAACTAAAGTTACCATTCTTTCATTCAAAACGCACTTTTCACCAAAAACGAAACTTCTCRCTGAAAATGGCTTCAGTCCCAAGACAACATAACTAAAAGTACTATCAAATGTTGGTAGAAAATARTCACACTCTAGAAGCAACAATTGATCCATAAAAATATCCCGTAATATGTCCTGGTAATCTTGACCATTTATATCCAAATGCCGAGGAAGAAGATTTGACGTCACGACGTTACTAGGATACTGATTCTGAGCCGAATGTTTTAATTTTATGTCGTCAGCGGCTAGTATCCATGTCAACGGTCTGTCTTTAAGTTTGGGGTATTTTTTATGCAGTACCTTTTCGATACGCTGAGCACATAAGAAGACTCGCTTAGGACTTTGTGTTCTGTAGCTGTGGCGGTTCGTTGATCCCCAGTGATGATCACTTGTTCGAATATGTATGCCAATATAAGGTCTCTCACGTGACTTTAAAATCGTTCGAATCTTTCCAAACTCTTTCATAAGAAACCTCGTTTTCTTGAACAAAAACTTCATCGCACAGCCAATCATTGCGTAGGGGTGGTTAAAAACCACACCCGGTAGGCCAAGCTCCTTTGCGCGCTTCTTAAGAAAACGGTTCTCCCATAATTTCTCRGCGAAATACCAAACCGTGTCAAGTTTTTCTACCTGACGATCGAGGACGATGTTAAAATCACTACCTTTAATCCAATCCAAGAAATTYGACTCTGAAAAAATCTTATATTTGTCATACCCGTCGGGTCTGTACGAACCCCAGTGGAATGTCCTTACTGATTGAGCCCCCTCGAATTGTGTCCCATTGTATCTCCAGTCAATCTCGTTGGGGACTACAAAMGATTCCAGGTTTTCAGGGCCTCCCCAATGAAGCATGAACACTCTCCCAAGTAAAACAGCCAAGTAAAATGTTGAAACTAAACCTACCATACGATTTCCATACCCTCCACAACCACCATCGTGTCCAGGACAGTAGAATACCAAGAAACGACGTTTAGGGTTGTTTGAATTGAGGCTTTCTTCGTGAAATTTTTTGTACCACTCGATCCATTTTCCATCGCATTTGTATGAAGTGTTGAGAGGTCGGAATTGGTCGTCTTCAAAAGCGTATGAAGCCTCTGCAGTAGATGGATCAGTGAAAACAATATTATTATTAATTATTATTAATATTATAGTCTCCTTCACGGTTAAGTGCGCCATCTTGAAAGGTAGCCGTGCCTTKKCATCGAAGSGAGACSACSGTTGAGMGTGCAATGATAGAAACCTTCTTTCACAMMTACAGACAGTTGTTTACAGGTATCTATCATTGCTCGCTCAATGGTAGTCTCGCTTCGATGTGGCKCGCCTAACCGTGAAGGAGACTATTGCAAGAGAATACAAAAGAAAATGTTATTCATATTTTTATCGACACTACAAACAGTCAATTACATTGCTTCGAATATCCTCTTTCACTATGATGTCACAGCACGTTTACATGGGGGCAGAATCGCTGAAAACCATGCGAATTTGTTCTTAATCTGATTCTTCTTCAAAAGACTAGTGCGGACTTAAATATGTTATGCGTCAACGACTGCCTA